GCGTTTTCAGGGTGATTCCTGCAATGTTGGGGTCGTTGGCACTGAAGAGGTGCATAGCGTGGGCAACTTGCGCGATGTCTGCAAGCTGGTTTGTTGGTGTTACGTTGGTACCACCACACATGTAACGGAGGTTGACTACCTCTGGGCTGGCCCGCTGGGGGAAGCCGAGCCACTTCTTAACGTACCGTATCGTTGCTCTGTCGATTTTGCCAAGTGTACTCTTTGGTGTAGTACCAGCTGTAAGACAGAAGGTGAGCTTAGGCATAATAAAAGTATTTAAAGCATCTACCTTCTGCCATGGTGCGAGTTTGGAGTTATGGAGTTTTACTAGTGCATGGAGGATACCATCGGTAGTGGTTTTTTCAGTGTTGCATCTACTGAAGCCAGTAGGCACACCCAGATGACGATAGGCATCTTCTTTGCCTAGAACCGGAAGTGCCTGCTGTTCCACAAAGGAGGTGTTATTGCTTGTGGTATGCGACTTACCTCTTACAGAGAGGGTGCCACATTTGGTGATGTTAAATTTGATGCCAGCTTAATTTGTCCAGTCCACAATGGTATTAAGTTGGGCTTGGAGACCCTCAGCTGTACTGCTGATTAATGCAATGTCATCAGCGTATGCCAGGATACTGGTGGGGAACTTGTTGAGTGAGTATCCATTGTTGAGGTCCTGGATAATGCGGATGGCGGGCTCAACTGCCAGGATGAACAGCAGGGGGCTGATGGGGCAGCCTTGCCTGACTCCTGACTGCATGGAGATAGAGTTAGTGAGCCTAGTGTTAGTACGTACCTTTGTGGTTGATCCCTCGTACAGTTGTAATACACCTATGGCTTCTTGATGTAGTCCGTGCCACTTGAGGGATTCCCAGAGCGTACCATGCGGAATATTGCCGAAGGCGTTGGCAATATCCATTCACGCGATGAAACAGTCTTTACAGCTTCTCCTGGCGTCTTGGATTACTGACTGCAAAACAAAATTATGCTTTAGGCAGCCCTGGTAATTCAGAAACCCCTTTTGAGAGGGGGAGAGATGGTCGTTGGTGTTGCACCACCCTAGAAGCCTATCTGCTAGGCAAGCTGTGTAGAGCTTGCCCCAGCGTATTAGAAAGGCAGATTGGGTGCCAGTTGTTGGGGTTAGAGGCCTCACCTTTTTTATGTATGAGAATTGTGGTTGATATTTCCCAGCTGTTGGGCACATAGCCGGTCCTGCGAACTGCGTTGAATATGGAAGTAATTATGAGTTTCTTTGGGTTGATTCGCTTCCAGTGCAGGTATCTTAACCTGTTCGGGCCCGGGGCGGTATTGTGGCCCCTGGCTATCCGTCGAGCGATCTCTTGAGGGGTAAAGGGAGCCTCAAAGGGGTTGTTGGTGTCTGGAGGATCGCAGGGCTTTACCGGTACTGGGGTGACGGCAGTTGGCGGAGTCACTTCATACATTGTACGGTAATGATCTTCTAGAGTCTTAGAGTCAATGTTGCAATATCGGGGGCCTCCGAGGATCTGGTCGAAGGCACGCTTACGGTTGGCCCTGTATAGCCGTTGTATCTCGCTTGCCTCGAGTTGGGAATTGCGGTGTTGCTCGGACGAGTTGCGACGGTGACGAGGGTGCTGTTGCTGAGGCTGTGGTGTCCGGATGTTACATATCTGATGTGCCAGTGCTAGAAAGTCATTCAGAACGCCTTCCAGTATCTCCTCGTTGAAGCGGGAGATCCACACTGCTACCCAAGAGGGGGGGTTTGTGCTGTCGGTTGCTGTGTAACTCCTATGAATCTTTTGTGTAGCTGCAGGTGCACACGTGGAGAAGGATAGGGAAGATGGAGCTCTTACCTGTTCTCCTCCAGACGGAGAGAGGTGCTTTTCTCTAGTGGAGGCCAGATGTTGCGGCGATTGATGGGACTGACTGCCACGATGGCTGGGTGTCCTTGTTGTAGACGTCGGACAGGACTGCAGTACTTGGGCATATGTGGACATCAGTGGGCTGGTAGGGACTGGTGCTGGTGCTGAAGATGTTTCCACATGGTTGGACGTCTCTGTGGGTTTGTCTTCCTGGAGAATCGCCTGGATTGGCCTTGTGGTCCTTTTCTGTTGAGGCTGCGTATGGGGGGCGTCGATGTTGGAGATGAAGAGGTTGAGGATGATTGGTTGCTCTCAGAGACATGTGTAGACAATGGGTGGGATCTCCTGGTGGCATAGCGGCGACTTACAGTATTGGCAGGGGGTGGCGGCTTCGATGCTTTTTCGGGATGCGTTATTGTTGGGAGAGTTGTTCTGTGAAGATCGCTGTTTTCTCCGGACGTATGGTTTCCTTGGCCTTGTAGGAATGCATACTTTCTTGCGGTCCGCCGGTAGTTGAGGAGGGGGTGACAAGGCCTTGATTCTGGTGCGTCAGCTGTTGGCCTTAAGTTGGTGCACCTTAATGATTTTCAATTTGTCATGAGTGTAGCCGCAAGCACGGCACTCAAACCGAAGGGTTGTGTTGTGCACGTGCTTGAGATGCTTAACCACGCGGGATTGGAAGGCAAAGTTGGCACCCATGGGGTGGGCACAGAGGAACAAGAACAGTTAGTTCAGACATGTAGGACTAAAATCTCTTAGATGGCTAAACGGATCAAAGTGCAGTCTGATAGAATAAAGACGAAGAGTGAAGCGCCCCCTGGGGTGCATAGCAGCCAATCAAGGAGGGGCGTGAAGAGGAAGAAAGAAGGTTTCCTGAGTGAAGCACCACAGGCCTCATGAGCGAGAACCACGGGGTGTCCAGGCGGAGCACCAGAAAGGCTACCAGCCTAGGCTGGTGGCGACAGACAAAAGTGTTGCCAGTCGAGCAGCGAATACACAGTGCGTTTAAACCATGCAGGCCGCTCTTCTGGCGGAAGAGAGAAGAGGAGAGGAAAGAAAATGTGACTAAAGCAACTTACCTAAAATCCGGGGAGCAGGTGGCTCGAAATCCAGTCGGCATCCTGGAGATTAGCAGCTGAAAATCATCAAGCTGATAAGAACAGAGTTAAAAGCCATTTATTGAAATATTAAAAATATATACATAGCGTTTCAGTATGGGCTGGAGATATTGTACAACATGGGCATAAAGCCAATTAGTATGAGTATATACATGGGTTGAAGGATAAATTTGAAGGAGGCGTTTGCCTTAGATGTCGCGTTTACACAGGCTCACAGCCAGCTAAGTGCCAGTTTTTGGCTTGCATAGAGTAGATGCTTGGGCGCGTTTACAAGGGCTCGTGGCCTGCTAGAGTGTTAAGTTTGGCCTACATATTTGGATGGATGGGCACAGTTACATGGGCTCTAGCCTGACAAAATAGAATACAGAAGTTTGTGTGGATGAAAAGTGGCGGAGTGGTCTAGATTTGTTGGCCAAGATGTTTGGCGTAAATGTCTCTGCTCCAACGTATACAGTCACTGGCCATTAATTTCCGCATTAGTTTGGCATAGTTTCTATTGACACCAAGTATTTGTAACACTTCATCGTTGGTTGCGTCGTATCCATGACGCGACCAACGATGACGAAGGCGTCGATGTAGGTGTCATAGCCTCGTCCCCTGAAGTGGTTGGCCAGTTCTTCATACTTCTGGACCTTGTCTGCTCTTGCCCGGTCGAGTGCATTGGCTCCATTCTCGAATGGTGTTGCGACATCGATGATGGTGGCGGTTTTGGGGTTATCATTGAGAACTACCAAGTCGGGGCGGCAGGTGCTGTTGAAGTTGGGTATTTGTTGATTGACAAATACGGTGAGGTCTTTGTGGTTGAAGGCTGTATTTAAGCGGTCCAGGATGGCGTTGTCGCGTTTAGTTATTAGATGGAAGTTAGGAGGGCAATGGTTTATGACATGCGCGAGTGTTTCTCGCTGTCATTGGTACCTTTTGCAGGTTTGACTGGCGTTACCGAACCTTCGCAGGTTGCTTAGGGGGACTATGCTAAGCCTGGCCTGGTGGATGAACCGCCAGTCAGCAAACCTGGTGAAATTCCCCTTGTGCAGGAAGTGGTTGCTGTTGGTGTTAGCAGCGGTTATTTTGTAAGCCTTACCTTGGTCAGGCTTGATGAGGAGTGCACTGAGGAAGGTTGCCTTGACTGCGGAAGATATGGCTTTCACCACATTGGATTTGTTGATTGGGTTGTCGTTGATGGTGGGTATTAGGGTCCCAGTGTCGCTGGGGTGCCACTTGATGTTGATGCGCTTCCCAAGGCGGTGGGTGGCCATGCGTAGACGAGTCCAGGTCGATGGGATGTCATACGGGTCACAGCCAAACTCGTTATCCATTGAGCTGGCCAAGTAGGTGCAAAGGTCGGCTGCGCTGGGTGGTCTCTTGATCCGCTTATCTACAACTTCTTGCAGGGTCTTGATTGCAAGAGTGTTTACGACCGGGTCCCTGGCATGGATAATATTAATGGCGTGACTTACCTGGGCTACGTCCGCTAAGATGTTACAGTGCGTCACATTCGCACCACCTTGGGTGTGTGGCATGTAAACATTTTCTGGGCTGGCTCGTTGGGGTAGATTCATCCACTTCTTGATGCTCTTCTTGATGACGTTATCAAGGTGGGTGCCCCTCGATGTGGGTTCCTGTCCGTGGTGAGGGGACCTCCCAGAGACGGTTTAGTAATGCCTCTTTACCATCCCTGGGATCTGAACGCCCACCCACGTGTTTGCCGTGCGTGGTGTCCCGTATGCCGGAAAGGGGGATCCTGGTAGTTGAGGGGCAACATAACGTCCCCAACACACTGCTTTGGCCCCTGCTTCGGATTAACGGGAGGCTCAAATCAGGCTCCGTTTGAGTCAATCGGCTGGTCGTTGAGTCATTTTTGACCTCGGCCTGAAGTCAACCAATCGATGCAGACCGGGCAGACACGTCAGATGAGATGTGCTCTTCTTGACTGCATTGTGAGGGTATAGCTCCTGGGAAACCCTGGTGTGACGGTCTATGGGAGTCTCCCATGTGACGGCATCCCCTTGTTGGGCCCCATGGTGGGTTGGGTCACTGGGAGCTGAATATTTAAATTATAATTATGGATTCCAAACATCCTGAAGCATCAATATCAAAGACCAAAGAAAAGACCTCCAGCCCACCTGCTTACTTAATAGTGCACGCAACTGGAGAAAAACCCCTCGCTAAGTGTTCTCCTTTTTTGATTAAAAAGTTATTCGAATCAACCATCGGGCATCTAAAAAACATACAAAAATTGAGGTCAGGGGACCTACTAGTAGAAACAGCCTCCCCTCAACAAACAACAAAGCTTTCGACAATGAAGACTTTCGGAGACATGGGAATATTAGTCACACCACACAGAAGTTTGAACTCATCACGTGGTGTGATATCTGAGTACGATTTGATGTCTGAAGACGAATCAGACATTCAGACCGGCCTGTTGGACCAAGGTGTCACTTCTGTCCGACGCATCTCGATTCGTCGAGACGGCAAGTTGATACCCACAAAACATTTAATTCTCACATTCGACAACCCGACATTGCCATCCTTCGTTACAGCAGGATACTTGCGCTGCCCAGTTCGCCCTTATATTCCAAATCCGCTGCGATGTTTCAAATGCCAGCGATTTGGACACTCCCAGACCTCCTGCCGAGGCAAAAGCTTATGTGCACAGTGTGGAATTGAAGGTCACGACAGTACTGAATGTAAAAGTACTCCACACTGTGTGAACTGTAAAGATGCCCATCCTGCTTACTCCCGGAAATGCCCTGCATGGCAAAGAGAAAAGGAGATTCAACGGGTGAAAACTGTGAAAAATGTATCTTATCCAGAAGCCCGTCGCATGGTCACTCCAAGTGCACCATTGCAGCAAAAGACATTTGCTGCAGTTTTGAAATCTACTAAGACATGTGGGGTTCAAACAGATATTTCTGTTTCCCCAAGTGAATCTCTTACCCGCCATGCAAAGTGTTTATTGATCCCATCTGCACAAACAGAAGAAAAGGAGAACACAAAGGCCAAAATTTCTGTAACTAAAACCGGGATAACAACCAGAAATATGGGTTCTAAAAAAGCCAGTAAGAACCCACTTAACAAACAAAAAGTAAAATCAGCCCTTTCTAGAGTCTCAAAAAAATCAGAAGCTCAATCTATGAGCGAGTTTTCTGACATATCTGACGAAGAGCCTAATATGGAGGTGACAAAACCAACGTCACCTCCAAAAGAAAAACCCCCTGTTAAATTAAAGAGGGATAACCTCGCTAAGAATGCTGCCTCAAACACATAATGGGTTATAAAATAACCCAATGGAACTGTCGTGGTTT